ATAGAGATGGGGTCTCACTATGTTGCCCAGGCTTGTCTCAAATTCCTGGCCTCAACTGATCCTCCCACCTGGGCCTCCCAGAGTGCTGGGATTACAGGCGTGACCCACCGCACTCGGCCTTTCGGTTTCTTCATGGTGTCTTTAAACAGCCAACATTTCTAGATTAGCTAAAGCCCTATTTACGAATTTTTTAATGTTTCATAGTTTTTGTATCGTATCTGAGGAGACTTTGCCTACCCCAAGGCCCCCCGAGCGCAGGTTGCTGAGAACAGAAGATGCCCCTGGGGCAGCGGTGGCAGGTAGTGCTCAAAAAAACGTTTCTCATGGGCCACTGTTGCAAGTCCCCGTGGGAGGGAGCTTCGTAGGGACTTGTGCACCAACAGGACCCGCTGTCTTGCCCAGATGCTTCCCGATGCATCCATTGGGAGCCACAGGCAGCGTACCCTGGCCCAGGAGGGAGGGCGGGTGCTGTACCAGACTTATAGCCTGGCTAGGACTCCGCCTCTGGCTGCAGCTATGCCCTGCAGCCTCTAATCCCTGAGAGAGAGAAAGGAGTTCGTACTGGGGGGGGGGCAAACTTTACCTTTTGTATCTGCAGTTCGTAGTTAAATCTGTGATTGAAATAGCTTAACATTTTCCACTCCATGAAAGAATGTGTTTTATTACACGTCACGGTGATGTTGGGTGGAGTTAATTTCTCTGGGGGGCAGGGAAAGAAAAAACTTCTATGAGTAAAACAAAAAAAAATTTTTTTTTCCTGGAGATACTTTAAAATATGCCTCCTACGAATCTGGGGGGTGGGAGATGCGGGGAGAGGAGGATGCCCTTCCAGGGAGGAAGAACGGGCAGAAGCATTAACAGAGAGAGACGCAGGACACACTGTGTTGGGATCGTTAGCCTAAGTCAGAGGTGGTACCAGGAGACCCTCCCCAGAAGCTTCCTTCATCAAACCGTGCAGCCGGCTCCTTCCCTGATGGGGCAGCCCCCAGAACAACCACTTTCTCCGCCCATTTGCTAATTCATGAACCATTGATTCCACGCTGCCTCAGTTTCCCCACAAGCACATCCAGTCCTGCACTTGCAGGTCTGGCTCGAGCAGGAGCCCCTTCCAGCAGTGAGGGCTGAAGGCAGCTCCCAAGACCACGTGCCCTGCCTGCCTGCAGGTAGCCGAGGGGGCTCCGGCCACCATGCGATGATCCCAATCAGGTTACAGGCCTGGAGGCCCATCGAGGCCAATGGCTCTGTGTTAGGGGGTGTCCAGGACTAAGGGGAGACCAGCAAGCACCTCTGCAGACAGTTCTGTGGTGGGGTGAATC